CCGGTTTGAGCTGTGCATAGGAAGCAAAGCAGCCATGATGGCAGGAGACCTCTCTCAGAAGGGGAAAAGGTTCAGGCACCTGTCAAGTTGCAAGGGGGGGTGGTAAGGCTCTGTGCTCCACCTCTGTTGACCCCGAAGTTCTCTCCTGATGGCCCCTCTGCGACTGTGCCTGTCTTAGGTTGTTCCTTCCCTGAGGAATCTTACCCGTCTTTGGCTAACCAGCCATCCTCTGGGGCCAAGCAGGGTGATGTGAGGTTTAGTTCTGTCTCCTTGGCAGCTTATGCCCCCATGAGCTCTATGCCCAACATCTGCCTCAGGAACTCCTCACCTGCTGGTGAGGCACAGATCTCATATTTTGGAGAACCCATGTTTCTTCTCCAGAGAGGGCCCAGCTCACCCCACTGGGCGGGAGAGAGATCCATGGTACCAGACACCATGATTTTTCAGCCTCAGCATGAACTGAAAGGTCAGGTAACAGCTGTGGGCACCTGGACCATGAGAAGAGGGTCATTTTTGGCCAAAAGGGCAAGAGAGGCCAATATAAATGCTCAGGAAAAGACAGTGAACACCAGGATACTTTCTGGAAAAAGACACAGTGGACATTGGAGGTGTTTCTGGAAAAATGACACAGTGAAGCTTTTCAGGGCTGTGAAAGCACCTCTTAAAACATATCCCATCTTTGAAGAGATATTTCAGTATTTGTCAACAATGTTCATTTAAATGCAAAATATATTGAAAACAATTATTTCTTTTAATGCATTGGTCCTGACACAAAAAGTTAAGTTTGGCACAGTTGAGGACTGGCATGAAGGCTAGTGTGGTGAGAGCTTACTTGGTAAGGGGGTGGGAGTGGGGACTTATATTTATTTAAGGAAAATATTTTGTCAACGTGTCTTATTTCTATCAATCTTAACATTCCAAGGAGCTCTCAATTATTCAGTAAGCACTAGGTGAGCACCACTGATTGTGGAAGGGCATTGCAGGAGATGCAAAGGAAAGTCCGCCTGGAGAGCAAGAAACAGACAGTGGCATGGAACTGCAACAGATTTGAATTACCCGCCGGAGTCTGTACAAGCGATTGGGAAAGACAACAAAGCTTTCCCTAGGAAATGTACAGAGTTTGCAAAACAGACAGACAAGAGGGTTACGCGTTTCTGCCTCAGAGAAATAAACAATTCATGCTGCCAGGAGGAAGACAAGTGGAAATTAATGCCAGAAACGAGGTTAATTTTCTCTCAAATTAAAAAAAAAAAAAAGGAATTTAATGTTCATGAAAAACATTTGTCATGCACTGTAGAGGCTGAGCCAATTATTCGTTTATTCGTAATTTCGTGTGCCTGGTACGTGCGCAGCAGAGGATAAAGCAAGAGACGCCAGGGTTCTGCCTGCAGTCAGATGGCCAGCTGGGGGAGCCTCTTCCTTCAGGGTGCGCATGTGTATAAATAGCTCCGCCTACCTTCCTGACACCATCCGAATGAAGGCCGAGGACTGAAGTTAAATGCCTCCCTCCATGGATGCCAAGGCAGGATGGCCAATAAGCAGTCTGAAAGAAAGCATTTTAAGATGCTCTTTAGCCTTTAGAAAGCTGCCACTTCGGACAAAGGCATTCGCTTCATTGTGACCACAGATGATTGAAATGGCCTCTCCTCTCTTAATTCATTGGTTGATTAGAGCATAATGCCAATAAAATGAAGGACATGGGCTTGAGCTTTCTGAAGATCAATTTTGTGGGTGCATGTTTTATCCTTGGGTATAATGCCTTTCCCTCAAAGCCCAATTAAAAACAAAAAAAACAAAAAAACAAGTAAAAATGTTTTGGGTTCACTTTTTAACCTATTTTTCTCTCCATTTGGCTTTTCTCCTGGAATGCAAAGAACACACACACACACACACACACACACAAGGCTTTGTTTTAAAAAATAAAGTAGCTGGAATGTAGGATTATCCAGAGTTTTAAGACCATCTTTCTGTTAAGATAGAAAGAGAATGAAATAGCAGAGGTATTGTTACAATTGCATACGTGAAGCTACACCAATGAAAGAAATGGATGGTGAGCTGCTGTGGCACATTCTAAAACTGACCCACAAACAGGGCAAAACACTCAACTCCCTGAAAACCTGGATACTGCTGTTCATACTCCTTCAAGTTATAGTATCCGGCCTCCCTGACCATTGTTTCTCTTAGAAACTAGAGAAAGTGATTAGCAGAAAAACTGTCCTGGACCTTGCTCTGACCCAGCGGCAGCATTATCAGCTCCTTTCCCCGTATTCCCACAGAGCCCTGTTTTTATTTTATGTCAGAATTACTATTTTACACCTCACACTTATTGTACACCCCTCCTGACTCTCTTTGCAACCTTGAAGCTTCATCTCCTTCCTTACAGGTCCCACAGTGGGAGGCAGCAGGGGCAGAGACTGCGCTGCCCAGGAGAGAACAGGGCCTGACCCAGCTCTGCGAGGAGGAAGCTGCCTGAGCGGGGGCCAGGTCCTCGCCTGGGAGAGGCGAGACCTCACAGAGGTCTCAGAGGCCAGAAGGCAAGGCCGGCAGCCGCGATAGGACAGAGGAGGGCAGGACTAGTCAGAAAGGGGCTGCCCTTGCTGTCTTTTAGGACTTGGTTGTGGTATTCAGTGTATGGGCTGTAGTTCAACTGTCTAAGTGGCCAAGTTGGTGGAGAGCTGGGCTCTGTCTGGAGACAAAGTCCCATTTGACCCAGTGATCCCACTTCTAGGAATATATCCTAAGAAAGCCAAAACACCAATCGGAAAAAAACATATGAAGCCCTATTTTCAAAGCAGCACAATTTACAATAGCTAAGATCTGGAAACTGTCCAGGTGCCAATCAGCCGATGAGTGGATAGAAAAACCTGTGGTACATTTACACCATAGAATACTATCCTGCTGTAAAAAGAAGGAATTATTACCCTTTGCAACAGCATGGATGGACCTGGAGAGTATTACAAGCAAAATAAGCCAGAGGAAGGTAAGTATCACATGATTTCACTCATATGTGGAATCCAATGAACAAAATAAGCTGAAGAACAAAATAGATCCAGAGACGTAGAACCATGAAACAGATGAATTTCACAGGGAAGGTGGGGGTTGGGGTTGGGAGGGGAGAGATTAACTGGAGAACTTAAATGCATAGATGCATAGCCCATGGACACAGACAATGGTGTGGTGAATGCTGAGGAGGGGTAGATGTGGAGAGGAGGAGATCTATGGGAAAAAACCCATGCAAACAAAAGAAAGTAAAAAAACAAACAAAAAAAAACATAAAAAAGCTATATGCTCATTTGGGCACAATTAGATACATATAATTGATGTAGCATATTGATTTAAAAAAAAAAAGATTGCCTCTTTATTTGTTTTTGAGCTTGACTTTTCCCTTAACAGTTTTACATTACATGTCTTATCTTTGAGTCTGTATTTACCTTGCTGAAAGAGATTATGCTAAGAAAATATTCTATTCTATTGGTATTATTTCTTAAGTAACTATTAATACAATTTTTACAAATAGATATAATTAACTCTTACTCTGGCAACTTTCTTTGAAAGTTTTTCTCCTTTCCTTCCTGAGTTTATTGTAATCTCTGACTATAACTTGTAAACATCTGTTTAGAATTGATGAAATGTCCTCCATTTGGGTTCCAATCAGCTCAGCAGTAAAGACTATCATGTTTAGGAGCCGAGTATCACAGCAGTAAGATAAAAATGAACAAAAAAAAGTGTTCTAGAGGGAAAAGCTCACAAGCCAATCCCTCTAAAGATTCCCTTGACACAAAGCGGAGACTTTGGGAACTATTAAAGGAAAATGATTACTAGAATAACATACATGTGATTAAAACACTCAATGTACTGAAGGTAGGGATTTTTCTTAGATTAGTATGGAATAGAGTATGCCAGAGGCTCCCTCAAAGTGATCTCAAGCCTGCCTGCTCCCTCTCTGCCTCCATAAAGGATAGAATTTGCCCCAACATATTACCCCACTCTTTGTAGCTCTGTAGACATTCTTTTATCCAAAGAAGTCTTTTGTGTCATCTGGAAATGAGTATTCAAAATGTAAACATATTTTGCAGCCTTACTGCAGGTCCAAACTTATTTCGTCCTTAGCAAGTGCCAGTGGAAGGACCGATCATCTTCTTTAATCTTTACAGTGAGGCTCCTACCAGCTGGCTGTTCCTGTCTCACTGAGCAACCACATAGCTAGAAACGTAGACCTCAGCCCTCCCTGGTCCTACCGTATCTGCCCCAAAAGCTGCGTGAGGACAGAACATGACTGTTTTTTAAGACATTTTATGAATTACTTTAAGTAGTTGGCCATATTTTGTTACCACAAACTCTCCTGTTAATCCAGTGAACAAACATGTATTAAATACTTACTTTGTTGCCACTCACTGTGCTAGACTCAGGGAGCACTATAGTCATGCTCCTTCCTTCCTGGGAAAGACAGACAGTAAACAAGAATCAGCCCCACTGTGGTCGGTGCTATGAAGATGACAAATGTGATGGCCTGAGTGAGGTAGGTAGGAATGGATGGATCAGGGATATCCGAACTGAGAACTAAGCAAGTGATATTTGAACTGAGAACCGGAGCATGAGAATAAGTCAGACTTTTCTTTTGCATGTGTGTGTGTGTGTGTGTGTGTGTGTGCCCGCATGTGCGCACCTACATACATTTTTATTTCTAGTAAAATAAATATCAACATAATATCCCAAATAAACAAAAGTGTGTCTTTTTGTTTTTCACAGAGTTTAAGGGTCATGAGACCAAAAAGTGAGAAAAACCACTGTGGTTCATCCCCAGCCGGGATTGGTCCATTTGTTGCTCTGACCTCATAAAGTGCCAGTGTGATGGAATTGCAAACCACGCCTATAAATAAAGCCCTGCCTGGGCTGAGGATTTAGTCCGTGTAGTGCAGGGAGCTCGTCTAGGTGACCTGAGACTAACTAGGACAACTCTGTGTTTTCATTTTTATTTTTAACTTTTTTTTGCTGTAACCATGCCCCGTTCCCCTGTCCCGACTACCACCAAGGGGCAGAGCATCGGAGACTATGTGCTAGGGACATCTATCGGCAAGGGCGCCTGCTCGCAGGTGCGGCTGGGGAGGCACGTGCCCACGGGCACCCAGGTGGTGATAAAGAGCATGGTCGGGCGCGATGTCTCGCGAGAGCTGCGGTGTTTAAGAACCCTACAGCACCGAAATATCTCGCGATTGCTGGAGGTTGTGGTGGCCCCCGAAGAGGTACATCTGGTGATGGAGCACGTGCGCGGCGGGGACCTGAGGGAGCACCTGGAGCGGCGCGGCCGCCTCACCGAGCGCCAGGCCCGCGCGGTGTTCCGCCAGATCGCCATGGCCCTCCACCTGTGCCACCTGCGGGGCTTCGCGCACCGGGACATCAAGCCGGACAACATCCTCTTAGAAGAAGACCTCACCGCCAAGCTGGCGGACTTCGGCCTCAGCCACGAGGCCACCGCGGGCCAGCTGCTCACCAGCTGGTGCGGGACACTCTCCTACATGGCGCCCGAGGTGCTGCAGCGCGAGCCCTACGATGGGCTGAAGGCCGACGTCTGGGGGCTGGGCGCCTCCCTCTACAAGGCGGTGACGGGGCGCGTGCCGTTCCCGGGCGACAGCGAGGAGAAGATAATGGATCGCATAGTGGAGGGGCGCTACAAGCCGCCCTACTACATGTCGGAGGCGGGCAGGAGCTTCCTCCAGCGGCTCCTGACGGTCGACCCCGACCAGAGGCCGACCCTGGAGGAGGCCATGCGGATGCCCTGGATGGACCTGGGTCCAGAAGACCTGCCTCCCGACAGCGAGCCGCCCGGGGAGGACCTGGACCCCCAGGTGGTGGAGACCATGCGCGGCATGGGCTTCAGGGAGGAGGACATCAGGGACTCCGTGGCGGGCCAGACGTTCGATCGAATAATGGGGACTTACCGCATCCTCCTCATGACCATGGGCAGGATGGCCATGGGGAGGATGCCGGGCCGCACCGTCCAGGTGAGGCCCTACCGGCCCCCTGACACCGGGGCCGCCACCCCTTCCAGCCGCCAGGGGTCCCGGGCATCGGGGGGCTCGTCAGGACCATCAGAGGCGAGCCCCCCCTGCCCTTGGGCGAAGAAGATCAGCGCCCCGCTGCCCAGCCTGGAGACCATCGCCTCCTCCCCTCCTCCCCTGGAGTCTGTGCAGGCGCTCCAGCCAGAGGGCTCGCCAAGACCATCCATGGTGAGGCCCCTGTGCCTGGGGGTGAAAAAGACCTACGCCCCGCCCGCGCCGCCGCCCAGCCTGGAGACCATCGCCGCCTCCCCTCCTCCCCTGGAGTCTGTGCAGGCGCTCCCGCCGGGGACCCGCGGCCCAGCCCCGCAGCTCCGCCCTGGGGGCGCCCCCACCCCCCGCACCAGCAACCGATTCCGATTCCGCAGCAGTGAGAGCAAGGCTGTAAAGGCTGTAAAGGCGGGGAACGAGGCTGTAAAGGTGGAGAACAAGGCTATAAAGGTGGAGAGCAAGGCTGTAAAGGTGGAGAACCAGGAGGGAGGCCCCCCAGGAAGCTCCCCTCAAGAGGGCAGCCCCTCAGCCTCTCCCGCCGCCAACACCCGGGCCCGGCCGGGCTTGGCGCAAAGGGCCTGGAAGACGTTCCTAAAGGTCTTCTGCTGCGGCGTTGACACAATCAAACCCCGAAGGAAGAGAACCAAAGTCCAACCTGGTAACACTTGAAAGGTGAGGAACTTGGGTCGATGTTCATATTTAAGTCATTTTGGAAAGTAGTTAACAAAGAACTTTACATTGTTTCTGATCTCTCTCAGTCCACGCGGAGCTGCAGAGCTGCAGGAGGCCGGGCGCGCAGAGCAGAGGAACAACCGGAGGCGAGGCGCTTGGCAGGCAATTGTAAAGCAGATGGTGGAGGTCTCTTCGGCTCTGGCTCCCACAGGTAGGGTATCCAGCAGCGCCTTGGAAAGCATCTTTTTAAAAAAATTTATTTTAATTTTGTTTTATGTTTTGGTTTTCTGTTAGTTTTAGTTTTTTTAAATTTAATTTAATTTTTATTTATTTTGTTTTTGGGCATTAACCATGCCTCATGACTGGGGAAGACTGCGTGGCTCTCCCTGGAGGTCAAGATGAGGGCCTGCCCTCGTAATGGGCCCATTCGTTTGGCAAGGTAAGATTTATGAAGGAAAGCAATCTATACATCATCTTCAAGTTAGCTGATTACTAAATTAGCTATTTAAAATTAATTTTAGAAATTAATTGATTACTAATAGTTTATAAATATATATATGAAAACGCCTACTTTTCTAATTATAAATAAAATTAAGCTTAAAATTTTTACATGTGAATTTCAACATCATATGCTAGTCTGGCAATTATAAGTGAAGAATTTGAATAGTCTATAAATCAGCCACAAAACTAAACTAAAAAAAAAGGGGAGGGCATTTTAGCATGAACTTTGATAATGAAAATATTAAACTTAATTAGATGTAAAACCAGGAATAATTTAGTTTTGAAAATCATCTTTCTTGAATGAGGCATTAACATGTTTTTTAATATCAAAAGTCTACTGATTTCTCACTTTATGTTATTAATTCTTAAGTTGATGCAATATAAGTTTACTATAGTATTATTACCAAGCAATAGAGTCTATTTCCTTTCAAAGGCTCAATTAAATGTTTGCCCTTAGCTTACTGTATGTCAGATATCTTTTGCAATTATGCATAGCCACTTCCTCTTGGAATTTAATTCTTTGTTTGCAAACTTAAAAACAATAAAAATTAGAAATACCTGTTACTAACTAAAATTAACTTTCACATTTGTATTCTATATATTTGTTCCACACAAAAATCTTTGATTAATTTTAAGTAAAAGTTAAATCACATGATTTATACATAAAATTAAAATTTAATATTAAAATAGTGAGAGTCACGTCAATATTTTACGGTAAAACAATTAGAAAATAAGTTTCCTAATTTCTCATTCCACTAACTCATTCATTTAGAGGATTTTTGATAGACAATGAGTGATAATTTACTTTTTTTTTTTTAAAGAAACTGCTGTGATGGAAGGCGCACAATTTATTGGCTTCCCTTTCATATTTCCGACTCTATAAATCACTATTCAGGATTAAGATTTTGTGGAATGAACAAAGGCAATTTAGTATTGACTAAATGCAAATAAGTATAGATAGATCAGAAACAATTTAAAGTTCTTTGTTAACTACTTTCCAAAATTACTTAAATATTAACATCTATCTAAGTTTCTCATCCAGCTCCTGAGATGCAGCCCTCATGCCAATTGCAGAAGGAGGTAGTTAGTCCTGCTGGGGCACCCGTACGAAACGGGGCCCACCTGCTGGGGATTGGCTGTTGCCGTGGTCACAGTTTGTTTGGTTTCTCTGGGCTGTCTTCCAACTAGGTGGAGGGATTTAGTTGCTGGTGGGTTAGCTGGGGTCGCTCACACCGGGCCCCCCAAAAGGCGACCTTCCCTGCAAGGTCGCCCCCCCCCAAGGCTGGGCCCCCAAGGTGGGGTCGTGGTGGGAAGGAGGCAGCGCCGCGGGAGCGCAGAGGAGCCGGAGACTCTGGGTCCAGGGGCCGCGGGCCGCTGCGCGAGGCTCCAGGCTCCAGGCTCCCGTCACTTAGGGGCATTTTGATGGCTTAGTCAAACTTGATCTGCTCTGACTAACCTTCCCTCAGTGAAGGTGCACTGCCTTCCGCACTCCCTTCTTCTCTATTCTTTCTCTTAGTCTATTTTTTATACATAAATTTGGTTACTTTTTAAAAGTAGATTTCGCTCCCCCTTTATTATAGTTGAACTATGGTTGAAAGGTAGAGTTACTTAAGATTTACCATGTTTAGCGGCTTTAGCCAATTCTAAGTGATTCAATATAAACTTCAAATGTTTGCTGTCGCCACGTCATAATCAGCCTAGGGCTGCACTCACCGGCCAGCTAAAGGAAGCGGTTGAGAGTTGAAATGTGCTGTAGGTGTAAAATGCACATCAGATGTTGAGTACTTAGTTTGCAAACAAGAAAGTAGCCTTTTTAGGTTGAACTTCATAACAGTTTTTAACTGATTACATGTTGAAATACTATTTTGGATAAAATAAGTTACATAAAATATATTATTGAAGTTTACTTCACCTTTTCTCTTTATTTCTTAAAACGTTGCTACTAACTAGAAAATTTAAGATTACAAATGTGCTCGAATATGTAATTGGACAAGGCTGATCTAAAGATCAGCCAACGAACTCAGAGGGACATATAGTGGAAGTGATTCTTACCTTTCCCCTAGTCTCCTGTCTTTCTAAATAAAGTTTTGTATTCCCGTGTATTCTGCTTTATATTAGGTTTTAAAAAAAGTTACACCTAACCTTTGAATTGCACTTTAAGTTGGTTTGATTACAGAATCACATTTTGCACCAGTGGTGGTGTTTTGTTCTCCGTTAGGTGAGAAAGGTTGTGGATGAACTGAGTATTTTTAAACTAGCTTTTAAAATTATGAAAATACTGCATATTTATTGTTTTAAAAATCACTCAACATAAAGGTATGAAATGAAAATTTAAAATTCCTCAATGCCTTCCAGCATGTTTCTATCTAAAAATAAAGGGTGTGTGTGGTTACATAAGTGATATTACTCTGCCTATCTCTCTGATACCTGCCATTTTTAAACTATTTCTCTGTGGCTATATTTCCTGAGGAGGATAGTAACTGTGCTTATTTTTATTGAAAAACTAGTATAGTATTCTATTCCCTGGCTGCATTATATTTTATTTATCTGTTTTCCTATTGAATACATAGGATATCTATACACTTTAGTGGTGTAATTGTAGATTTACATGCAGCCTTAAAAATAATACTTGTACACAAATGTAGCCTTGTATACACTGTCCATTGTCTCTCAGTGATAATATTTTGTAAACTATATTATAATATCATGACCAGGATATTTATATTGATGCAATCTGCTTTACTTGTACTTATTTGTATGTGTATATGTCCTATGTAATTTTTATTATCTGAATAGACTCACTTATCTACTACCACAATGAAGATACTGAACAGTTCCAACATTATAAGGATCTCTCATGTTGGCCTTTTATCATCATAACCATCTTCTTCCAACACAATCAGCTCCCAACTCTTATCAACCACTTATATGTTCTCCATTTATAAAATTGTGGCATGTAAAAATGTTATAGAAATGGAATCCTAAAGTATCTCATGCTTTGGTTTCTCAGCATAATTCCGTCTTGAATCCACCAAAAAAGTTGATTTTGAGATGGATGAGTAAAATAAGGCAAAAAAAAAAAAAAAAAAAAAAAAAAAAAAAGAGGAAGGGAGGGAAGGGAAAAGAGGGAGAGAAGGAGGCAGGCAAATCCAAGAAGACAGAGTTCAGAGGTTGAAAGTCCAGGGACTTGAGGAAAGAATGAAAGTTTGGAATAGTCTCTAAAATAAAATAATAGCTGACTAGTACAGTTATTTTCAAAATTATTTTTACCAAGAGCCACAATAAAACAACAGAAAAAATAGGTTATATTATAATTCAAGCACACATACTTTAGAAACATATTTGTTTTTTAAATCTTTAGCATATGTAGTGTAATTATAGTTTTTTTTTCTGGCCTATTCTAATATTTTCTATCCTATCCTGTCATTAATACTTGATAATCAAGAGGCACTAAATTAACTTTTTGATCTGCTAATGGGTTATGATAAACAATTTGAAGATTATTAGAAAAGGAGATGTTCAGAAGGATTGCTGGGCAGATGAATAGCTTGAGTTTGGGGACCATTTGGTAGTGAAGAACAGAATTTGAATTCAGGATGTCTGAATTATGATCCTGCCCCCATTACTTATTAATGTAATGGCTATTGACAGTTAAGTAACCTCTTCAAACCTGAGTGTTCTCATCTATACAATGACTCTCATGACCTTTAACCTTTTAAGTTACTCTGAAGATTATCCATTTTACAAATGTCTTCTAGTGCCTGCCTTGTCACAGCTACTTAATACTTGGAAGCTAATGATAGTGATGATGATGATGACATGAAGTTATACTGAAATATACTGATTAATGCATATATATTATAAGTTTTAAAGATTTAAATGGCCCATCTGGCATGGTTCAGTGATTGAGCATTGACCTATGAACCAGGAGATCATGGTTTGATTCCAGGTCAGGGCACATGACTCAATCCCCAGTCGGGAGCATGCAGGAGGCAGCCAATTAGTGATTTCCTTTCATCATTGATTTTTTCCATCTCTTTCTCCCTCTCCTTTCCTCTCCAAAATCAATAAAATATATTAAAAAAAGATTTAAATGAAAAAAATTTTATTTTACATGCCATAATTATCCAATATCACATGTTACTGTTGCAAAACATGGCTCTCTCTGCTAAAATTAACAACTCTGAGTTAATGAATAGAAACTAGTCTTATGTTTCCCCCGTATACAGACTTAGGTTGTTCTCTTGTATTTGTTTTTTTAAATAATTCTAATCTTTAGCATATATAGTGTAATTATAGTTTCTTTTCTGGCCTATTCTAATATTTTCTATCCTATCCTGTCATTAAAACTTGATTTTTCCATTAACCATTTCTATTACGATGAGTCTTGCTGTGAAGTTTCTTGGTTCAGGAAGGCAAGCCAGCTTATTCCATGTAATTTTCCCTTAGAGAATTAAAAGTCTAGTAATAGACCTGACCATTTTGTAGTCAAACATTGTTCTTAAATATATGGTGCAGACATGATAAGGTCTGATGAACATTTGTTAAACTAAAATGTGTATATAGAACAATGTTGGATTATTATAATAATAATTATTATTAAAGAACCCACAATTTGTATTAGCATATTAGCTCCTTTAATTTTCTTTAATTCTGTGATTTATTGTGAAGGATGATGGAAGATGATGATGATGATGCAAAGAACAAATAGAAGCTGAATTGGACAAAAATCAGCATTTCTTCTTTGGAAAAAGATGATCTAGATACTGATTCAAACTCAGAAACCCAGAGTGATGAGAGTGATGCTGTAAGTGTTAAGTTTTGGAATTCTGAGCCCTTTAATTGGAGGAAACTTTTCAGGAGATATTTTACTTTCTCAGTGTGTTTTGTGTATTTATCTCATATTTAACCTTGGGATCATCTTTAAACAGTGTAAATTGATAGATATTTAAATATAAAAGTTTATTGAAGATAAAAATCATCCACATTGTATATGTGTATTTTTGGGGTAAAATTGGGATTATACCATACTATGTATATACAGAAGCCCGATGATGAAATTCGTGCAAGAGTACGCCTTCCCAGCCAGCTGCCTGGATCCCTTCCCCGCAGCGGTGGCGGCTGCAACCCCAGCTTCATCCTGGAGGGATGTCAATCTAATTAGGATATTACGCTTTTATTATTATAGATATTTGTATCCTGCTTTTGAACATTAATCATGACCGTTCTACTATGCATATATATGGATGGAAGCAAACTTTATGTGACAACTTTAGATCTATAGAGGTAATGCTGTTTTTAAAAAAATCAAACATGTTATCTTTTCACTTGTATATTTCTTCCCATGTTTATATGCTTTAAAAATCTGTTTATGATTCCCTTTTTACCTCAAAACTCTTAATCCAATGGAAATTGATATTATAAAATAAAGACCTAATTTGACATTTTCTTCAACATACTTAGCTAAAGTTTCTAGTGTCACTTGTTAAATAATCCAACTTTTCTCAATTGATTTATTTTATCTTTTTATGCATTTAGTGTTTTACATATGATCTATCCAAGATTATCTTATATTTTCCATTACTGTTAATGTTTGCTGTATTACAGTTTTATATTTTTTCAGTTTCAAATGAGTCCAATTTTCTGTTTTGCAATTTCAAAATCTTCTCAACTAAGTTTAAAAAAACAACACAAAACTCATTTGCCAAGTTTCAAAAAATAACTATATTCTCAGTTTTAATTAGGATTTCAATAAACTACATATAATATTTGAGAAAATTTAATATTTTTACATTATGTCTTTTTAACTACACTTAATTTAAATGAAACTAAATATCCTGATATTATTCATGTGATTATGAAATTCAACAGAATCATAGATATAATTCATAACACCTGAAAATGAAAAGCAAATTTTCACTTATATTTTGTTTTAAATATGCCCTTTTTTGACATTTTTTATTTTATTTTATTAAAACATTTTAAAGTTTGCAGGTGTCCCCAATCCCCCTACTCCCTCCTCCGTTTCCTGCTCCCTTGGGCTTCACCACAATATTGTCAGTGTCCACAGGGTAAGCACACATGTTCTTCAGCTAAAGCTTTCACCTTCTTTATCCAGTCACCCTCCTCCCCTCCCCTTGGACACCATCCAGTCTGTCCCACATATCCAAGCTTCCGGTTCCAATTTTAACATCAGTTTATTTTATTCATTAGATTCCACATATTAGTAAGATGATATGGTATTTGTCTTTCTCTGACTGGATTATGTTGCTTAACATAATACTCTCCAGGTCTATCCATTCACAAACGGTAAAAGTTCTTTTTTTAGAGCAAGATAGTATTTCATTATATAAATGTACCATAGATTTTTATCCACTCATCTTGGCTATTGTAATTAATGCTGCTATAAACAGGGATGCATATATACTTTCTGATTGGTGTTTTGGGATTCTTATGATATATTCCCAGAAGTGGGATCACTGGGTCAAAAAGCAGTACCGTTTTTAATTTTTTGAGAAAACGCCATACTGTTGTCCACAATGGCTGCACCAGTCTGCATTCCCACCACCAGTGCACAATGGTTTCCTTTCCTCCACATCCTCACCAGCACTTGTCATTTGTTGATTTATTGGTGATAGCTATTCTGACAGGTGTGAGATGAATTATGCTCTTTATAGTCTTTTACTTCATTTATGCATTTTCTCACATTTTTGATGTGGAATGAAGGAGGGGATATTTGATACATAGTTTTAATGAAAAATTTTATACTTTCTTTCATTATTGAATTTTCAGGACTGAGTTGAATTACCAGAGTCAAATCTTCACTGTATTGACATCATAAAGAATAAGAGTAAAACTGCTGAAGAGCTCATTCTTCAGGACTTAGAAGATACTGATGTTTTAAGTAAGTACAGTTTTTATCTGCTTGAAAGATACATTTTTTGTGAGAATAATTAACCTAAAATGTAAAAAAATTAAACTGTTTAAAGTATGTATCTCTTCATCCATGCATATATTTTGTCTCTAATAAATATATACCGTATTTTCCAGGGTATAAGACGATCTTCTAATTTTACAGTTAAAACATAGGTTTAGGCCTATGTTCGCTGTATAAGACTACCCCCCACTTCCGAGGCAACACCAGTTCTTTTCTTATTTAAATTTTTAATGAATGACATTTTTCGAACATACCATAATATACCGTACATTGATACAATAAATGGAAGGTTTCTTCACAAATGGCAATGCCATGAACTTGACCGAGAAACAAGAAATCCAAAAGAGAACATTAACAATGATGGCATCATCTGGAAAGAAAATTACATGAAGAACTTGCAGAAAACGCTTGTTTGTGACTGACTGGGATGATAAGAGGTTTTTCTAGGCAGAGGAGCATTGTGAGCTTAAAATCCTTCAAAATCCTCATCATGTTCTTCTGACATCATAAGTTCATCAATGACCTCTTGTGGTACATTTGTAAGACAGTCATCATATGGATCAAATTCCGAATCAGATGGTGTGGCTTCAGCTTCGGCTTCCCCTTCATCTTGCCACAAGAAGTCATCCTCCATACCATCCAAAGAATTTGATATGCCACACTTCTTGAAAGACCTCATTGCTGTTTCTTCAGTAATATCATTTCAGGCTTTTATGACAAAGTTACACAAAACATCCAATTGTGGCGCACGCATGTTTCCTCCTTTTGTGAATAACTTTTCGCCGCTAACCATCCACTCATTCCACTGTTCTCTAATGCAATCTTTAAATGGCTTGTTTAGGCACACATCCAGTGGCTGTACCAATGATGTCAATCCTCCAGGAATAACTGCCGCATCTGTGTTTATTCTTGCCAGCCTGTTCTTTGTGCTGGTAGTTAAATGAGCCCTGAACATATCCCACACCAGTAGGCTATGTTCTTGACGAAGTCCACCTGGTCGCCTACTCCATATATTATCAAGCCATAGCATTACCCTTCTTCATCCATCCATCCTTTTTCATTCACATGTACAAAAACTCCAACAGGGAACTTGATTTTCGGCATTGTTTTTCTTTTAAAAATAATCATTAGTCTTAGTTTGGTACCATCAGCTGTACATGCTAGTACCACTGTAAAACTGGACTTCTCATGTCCTGTTGTTTTAATTAACACTGTTTTTGCACCTTTTGGATTAACAGTTTTATTTCCAACCATATCAAAATTCATAGGAGTTTCATCCATATTTCCGATCTGACTTAATGCATAGCCACGTTTCTTGCACTGTTGTATTACATATTGATGGAAAAGACTTATTTTGCCATCAAGATCTGCAGGTAATTTTTGTGCAATTTTGGTCTTTTGCCTCAGTACCAGATTGTGCCTTTCCAAGAACCTAGTACTCCAGGATACAGTGGCCTTAAATCCTTTGCTGTTATATGGGTTAGATTTGGCCCACTGAAGTGCAAACATACGTATTTTGTTTCGTGTCACTACATTACCATTTTGACGATGCTCAAGAACCATGTCTGCTACATGCTTTTTGAGTTCTGGCCAATAAGAGGTGCCTTTTCTTAATGCACACCTACTCCTTGGCATACTCTTTAATGCATCTTCATTTGCTTTCCAGTCTCGGACCATCTTTTCTGTTACTCCATATTGTCTTGCCGCAACACAGTTATTGTGTTCCTTGGCAAAGTTTACAACTTTCAGCTTGAAACTGGCTTCAAATTTCTTTCTTCTTGCTGGAGCCATGATGGGTTCTTTTCTACCAGCCATTTGTTGTACACCCACTAATCTTTTAGGCCGGGATTATACAGTACTATAGCTTCGGCTACACACAGAATGTTCTATTACGGTACCTTTTAACTCACTGTATGTGTCCTGATACAGCAGCTTTGGCTACACAGAACCTTCCCGTGCTGCAACTGTATGTACCACGGTGAGCCAATCACAACAAGCAAAGGTTCAAAGGTTATAATAGACCGCCTCTCTGACTCTGGCCAATCTGAGCAGGCTTTTTACTAGAACACAGTGTAGCTTCCAGTACAGAACATGTATAATTTGCATGCATAAAAAGCCTGCTTGGATTGGCTGAGTTAGAGAGGCGGTCCGAGCAGCCTTGCAGTGATTGGTGCAGGATCTAGTTGGAAAATTCATTTAGCGGCATATACAGACGATTTTCGGGATCAAGCTGGAAAATTCGTTTAGCGGCATATCGAGACGTTTTTCAGGATATACTCGGCGGATAAGACGACTCCCCAATTTTTTTTTTTCCAGTTGACTTTTTTCATTCAAAAGTCGTCTTATACACCGGAGAATACGGTAGTTCATTTGTTTTCCTTACTAACCTTCCTTACATCTCCAATAAATACTGATCACCATATTTGTTTAACCAGCCTTTATTAAAACCAAACATTCTATTACTTTACAGATAGCTATTCTGACAGGTGTGAGATGAATTATGCTCTTTATAGTCTTTTACCTCATCTATGCATTTTCTCACATTTTTTTATGTGGAATGAAGGAGGGGATATTTGATACATAGTTTTAGCGAAAAATTTTATACTTTCATTATTGAATTTTCAGGATTGAGTTGAATTTCTGGAGTCAGTTCTTCACTGTATTGACATCATAAAGAATAAGAGTAAAACTGTGGAAGAGCTCACTCTTCAGAACTTAGAAGATACTGATGTTTTAAGTAAGTACAGTTTTTACCTGCTTGAAAAATATATTTTTTGTGAGAATAATTAACCTAAAATGTAAAAAAATTAAACTGTTTAAAGTATGTACCTCTTCATTCATGCATATATTTTGTCTCTAATATATGTATATATATATATATTTATATATGTGTGTGTGTGTGTATGTGTGTGTATATATATATACATATATATATATATATATATATATATATAGTATTATTTGACTGTTTACTTTAATTCATTTGTTTTTCTTACTAACTTTCCTTATATCTCTAATAAATACTAATCACCATATTTGTTTAACCAGCCTTAATTAAAACCAGACATTCTATTACTTTACAGATAGCTATTCTGACAGGTGTGAGATGAATATAGTCTTTTACTTCATCTATGCATTTTCTCACATTTTTGATGTGGAATGAAGGAGGGGATATTTGATACATAGTTTTAGCGGAAAATTTTATATTTTATTTCATTATTGAATTTTCAGGACTGAGTTGAATTTCTGGAGTCAGTTCTTCACTGTATTGACATCATAAAGAATAAGAGTAAAACTGCTGAAGAGCTCACTCTTCAGGACTTAGAAGATACTGACGTTTTAAGTAAGTACAGTTTTTATCTGCTTGAAAGATACATTTTTTGTGAGAATAATTAACCTAAAATGTAAAAAAATTAAACTGTTTAAAGTATGTATCTCTTCTTTCATGCATACATTTTGTCTCTAATATAGTATAATATATATATATATATATATATATATATATATATATATATATATATTATATTGGACTGTTCAATTTAGTTCATTTGTTTTTCTTTCTTTTTTTTTTAATATATATTTTATTGATTTTTCACAGAGAGGAAGAGAGAGGGATGGAGAGTCAGAAACATTGATGAGAGAGAATCATCAATCAGTTGCCTCCTGCACACCCCCCACTGGGGATGTGCCCGCAACCAAGGTACATGCCCTTGACCGGAATCGAACCTGGGACCCTTCAGTCTGCAGGCCGACGCTCTATCCACTGAGCCAAACCGGTTTCGGCTCATTTGTTTTTCTTACTAACCTTCCTTATATCACCAATAAATACTAATCACCAATATTTGTTTAACCAGCCTTAATTAAAACTAGACATTCTATTACTTTACATTTAAGAAAGCTAATAAAAAAACAATAAAATCATGGGACTATTTTAAAAGAATCACTTTATATATCTTTTTGGAGAAAAGTATCATTTATATAAAAAGCCTAATAATGTTTATTTTCTTCAACTGATCAAATTTACTCCTGGGAATTATTCTACGTAATAAAAGATTAATATGCAAATTAACCATCACTCTGCCATGCCCACCAGCCATGCCCACCAGTCAATCAGAGCGAGTATGCAAATAAACCCAACCAAGATGGCTACAGCCACAGAGTGCAAGAGGGAAGCTTGGGTTTCCCAGGCAATGGAAGAAACCAAGCTTTCCACCTGCCCTTGCCAGCCTAAGCCTTCACTCAAGGCTACAAAGTTTCAATTATAGAAGGTAAACAAATCCAAACAGAAATGGCTGCTGGCCACCGAGGGAGCAGGAGTCTTGGCTACACTCCAGGCTACAAAGTTTCAATTGTAGAAGGTAAATAAATCCCAGATACCAGGGCCTTTGCTTGGGTCGCCAGGGGGGTGGCTGGCCTGCAAATCACCACAGGCCCCTCGCCCAGACCGCCCCACACCCCAAGGAAACCCCCACCCTGATCTGGGACACCCTTCAGGGCAAACCAGCTGGTTTCCACCTGTACACCAGGCCTCTATCCTATCTAATAAAAGAGTAATATGCAGATTGACCAGTACTCCAACATACAAATTGGCTGCCCCCATGTGGAAAGATCCTGCCCCTATGTGGACACAAGATGGCCACCACAAGATGGCCAGTAGGGCAGTTGGGAGGCACCATGCCTGCAAGGGAGAGCAGTTGAGAGGGACTAGGTCTGCAAGAGAGGGCAGTTGGAGGTGATCAACCCTGCAGGGGAGGGCAGTTAGGAGTGACCAGGCCGGCAGGCAGGGAAGTTGGGGGCGACCACACCTGTAGGGAAAGGCAGTTGCAGGGGACCCAGGCCTGCAGGGGAGAGCAGTTAGGGATGACCAGGCTTGCAGGGGAGGACAATTAGGGGTAAATAGGCTGGCAGGGGAGCAGTTAGACATCAATCAAGTTTTTCAGGGGAGTGGTTAGGGGGTGATTAGGCTGGCAGGC